GCCTGCTACGCTGACGACGTCACCATCTTCCTATCCTCTGTTAGAGAGCTTGGGACCACACTCATACACCTCAGGACCTTCGCCGCAGTCTCAGGAGAAACCCCAACTGGAAAAAATGCTCAATAATCCCTTTTCATATCTCCCGGAACAAATCCTTCTGGCCGGCCCCATTCCCATTCGCACTCCTCAAGAGGCAGAACGCATTCTTGGCATCTACGTTGAACGTGCACAACCAGGCGCCACCACCTGGTCCACGACTCTCTCTCGCGTTCAGCGCACGGCTAAATTCCTCGCCGCCTTCGTGCCACAGCCACCTGCCGCAAGTCACTTGCGTTGGTCTTCTTAAACTCTATCATCTCCTTCCCCGGCCGCTTTCAAAACCCCTCCCCCGACGTTATCAAACGATTAGACGTCCTGGTCGGAAACTTTCTATCCTCTTCGCGTTTCAAGGAGCACGGCCTAGCGGTCCGTCTCATCCCTAATGGCTCCTGTATAATTCCACCCGCCACGGAGGCCTTGGAGCGATTGCCCCCTCCACCCAAATCCGTGCTCTAGCTGCTCACCGCGCGCTCCGTCGCCTCGGCGCCTCACCATCAGAAGAGATAGCCAGAGCCGCCGTCTGCCTCCCATTTGGCACACACTGTCTCTTCGCGCACCCTGCCATCCTACAGCAGGCATTCTGCAACGATAATCCCGGCCGAGCACTCGCTGAACTACACGCATTCTTAAACTCTCATCATCTCCTTCCCCGGCCGCTTTCAAACCCCTCCCCCGACGTTATCAAACGATTAGACGTCCTGGTCGGAAACTTTCTATCCTCTTCGCGTTTCAAGGAGCACGGCCTAGCGGTCCGTCTCATCCCTAATCGGCTCCTGTATAATTCCACCACCACCCGCCACGGAGCCTTGGAGCGATTGCCCCCTCCACCCAAATCCGTGCTCTAGCTGCTCACCGCGCGCTCCGTCGCCTCGGCGCCTCACCATCAGAAGAGATAGCCAGAGCCGCCGTCTGCCTCCCATTTGGCACACACTGTCTCTTCGCGCACCCTGCCATCCTTCAAGCAGGCATTCTGCCAACGATAATCCCAGGCCGAGCACTCGCTGAACTACACGCATTAATAGAGACTCACTCCGAACATTGCCCCACCTCGCCTCGTCCCCATGTGTATAATGGGCGAGCCCACCGCCTTCAATCGTTTCATTCTCAAACCAAACGGGAAGCCCTTCGGAATCCTCACGCGTGAACACTTCCTCCTATCTAAGCAGGTCCGTGTCGGCCATTTGATCTCTCTTATCTTTCACTCGCTTGGTGTGGTCTCCTTCAAACACTTCACCTCACTGTTTCCCATAGCCAACTCCTCCTCTGGACGAAGAGTCTGGCGCGAACTCATCCGTGCCATCCCCAAACCCTGGTGGTCAACCCTTCGCTCCCCCCCTCCCCCCTCGGCAGTCCCTGGGGAGTGGTTCGTCCCTAAAGAAGACTCCGAAACCTCTCCCCTATTGCTTTCCAGGTCACGGCCTTCTCCCCTCCTCCGTCGTCGCTCTCAGTCTCCCTTTACCGTGTCCTGCCCAACCGACTCATCGTCCGACCGTCGATCGGAGATAGCACCTTCCACATAGGTGCCCTCTGTGCGGTACACGTTGTCGGGTCCTGGCTTGCAGGCCCCTTCCATACAGGTGCAGGGCTTGGCGCGCGGCTCGACATCCTCCGGGACGGCTGCCCAAGCGTAGCTGACATTCGTCGCCGGCTCTATGCTCAACTTCCCCTCGACCACGCCGCCCGCTGGATCCACGTCCTCCCCGCTCCTCCTCCCTTCCTCCCCGACCTCTCCCATGACTTTCTACGGGAGCAACCCAGCCTCCAACGCGACGTCTTGTATCGGTTCTACACTCGCGCTCTCCCTTCGGGTTCACGCTTCAACTTCGCCGCAGACCGTGGGATTTGTTCACATTTTTACGAGTGCGGGGTGGCCCCCGCGGTAATTTCCGCCCCTCTTCCGTCGCTCGTCGTCACCTCCACTGCTCTCCTCCTCCTGAGCTCCTGCTCTTCCCGCTCGCCTCCAGAGCTGGCCAGGTGGCCCCTTGGAGCCTTCTGGTTGGGGCATCTACAAAAGCTATTTGGAACGCACGCTGTGAACACAAGTTCCAAGATTCGCCCCCCTCCCGGTTTGAAATCCTCCAGCTCATACTGGCAAAGTTCCTCATTGCTTTCAAAATTTTCTTATGGCGCAGGAAGAAACAATCAGTGAAAAAACAACAACGCTCAGCCGCTCGTATTAAGCTGGCCACTCGACTTCGCTTTCTCGTCTTCGACCACAACGGAACCCCTTCTATCCACCCAGACCTCCGCTCTTCCTGGCTGCTTGGGGACCCTTTCCGCCCCCCCTAGCCTCCCACCCTTTGTTGAGCATAGAAGAGCTCCCCAGCTGAGCTGGTGGCTATCCTTGGATAGGGGAATAACGTGTTTTCTTACGTACGCCTCTGGGCTGTTGGTTTGTGTAGACCATATTTCTAGCTACTCTATGCTTTGCTGTACACGGTTACGACCTAATATAACCTTAACCTTAATCTTCACTCTGTCCCAGTTCCGCTGCACCAGAATTTCATGTTTTTCATTCCTACCAAATTGTACTCGAACGTTTCGCCGCGGCTGTTCTGACCCGTTTTTGTCTCACCAACGTCGTATGAGCATTTATCTGCATTCTCTTCATCGCTGTCGTCCATCCACCGTTCACACAATCCGGGTCGGTTGCTGCCTCCGCGACTTCGTGTGCGATGGTGGAAACCGTCGCATCGATCGCAGGGTTCCCGTTAGGCGACGTGCTCTGCGCCCCGCAACCGTCGGGGCATTGCCCGTGATGCCCCACGAACGAATACACAAACGGGTTTCCTCCGTTAGAGTCCATGGTGTGCCATCCGCAATACTCGCTACAGTAACCGGGGACGGTAACATCCTCGCTAGAAAGGAGTAAGTAAATAAATACCACTCGCGTCGTACGCAAACGCCTTCCCGTCGCCAATATTGCTCGAAACCACTGCGACAGGGAGAGGGCATGGAATGGTTTGATTGTGAGATCTCCTCAATACACATGGCGCACATGCGAAAAAGCAGTGCCGGATGTCCTTAATGCTGGAACAGCAAACCGGCTCCCCCCCCCCCCCCCCCCCCCCCCCCCCCCCCCCCTTCGCGCTCCCCCCCCCCCCCCTCTCCCCCGCCTCCCCTTTCGGAAACCACAAAGCATGTCGCACGGCATACCGTTCCAAACTGTGTCGTCGGCAAAGCTCTTTCCCGCGAGTAGTCGTCGTAGACGGTCCCCGCGAGGCGCACCTGGGATAAAACCGAGCAGATATGCGAGTTGTGAAATCAAGACGAAATCGAATATCGAAGGTGGTGTGCTCAGCAATGACCTAGTCTCGATGTTCATCTGGGTCGCGTTGGGCCACCCACTCGTTTCCAGCAAAAAACGATTCCTCTGCGCGCCATTTTCGGACGTGCAGAACAATTCCCCCTGACGGTCCGCGTGTTATGCGACGAACCTTCGTGCTGACGTTCGTCGGCGCGCCATCCACCTCCTGCGTGTACGCCGCGCTGATTGCCCACCAGCGCTTCACCTTGGGCTCCGCGGGATCCCCTTGACGCTTCGAGTCCTTGCTCAGCGACCGGATGAAATTCTCAATCACTTTCTGCCCTGAACCTTCTGGCCAGCTGCCGTAGTAGATGATGTACACGTTGATGGACGGATTTCCGGTCATCACGGGCCCGCCTCGGTATTTGATCGGAGCGCTTGAAGCGTCGCTGCCCGATTCGCCCTTTTCGCGCTCTTCCTTCTCATGATGCGCCTTCGTTTCGAACATGTGGAGAGGCGGGCGCCCCGGGCGCTCTACTATGTCGGTCAGCTGGCGCTGACGGCGGTACTCCTCGTGCGCCTGGCGCGTGCGCGCGACTCCGCGCTTATTTGGACCGGCAGATGCGAGGGGGAGTAGCAAAAGGCAGACGAGGGAGAGGAGAAATAGCAGGGAGGAGGTGTCGGTGAGCTTCGCCATTGGGTCGCTGGAAGGAGAGGTTATTGAAGGCAAGAATAACTAGGGGAGCTGTATCGATTATAAGCGCCGGATTCTCGCGACTAGATTGCTAATGCGGGGGCGAATGCCGTCAGATCGCGCTCGGCTTGCTCTGCTGCTGATCAACTAGAGGATCTATAAGTAAGCGGAAATGTGAACGTGGAACTTCCAGGTCTCGAAACGGTTATGAGTTGGTTTGCACAAGATGCGAGGCACGCGACCGAGAGAGGAACGAATGCTGGTATGAAGCGTCGAAATGCGGCATTTATACCTATGAGCACAGGAGGCGCGCCGGTTGTTGGTGACGTCGATGTTGTTCAAATGCTAGCGACGTCGCTGGCTGTGACTCTGATACGTCGCTGGTTCCTGATAGGTAAGTTGTTGCTGTGGTGCTGGTCTGGTCTGGAGTGCAATGTCCAATAATTTTGCGACTCGATTTCCTCCAGTGCGTTCTGGTTGAATGAATGACGAATTCACAATTTCGCGACTCGACTTCGTCGGGTGAGTTGAGATCCGAAGGACGTCGTGGATTGGTGGATTGGTGGGTTCCTCAGCATATCTCCGATTACAGCACCAAGTTCGATATGCGTGAGAACACGCAATGAACAAAATTCTAAAAATGTTGGTCTTAGGTTGTAACCTCAACGAGTGTCCCTTCTATCGGGGAATTTAGGGAATAATTGTTCCTCTACCGCCCAGTTCGAAATCGCCGCATTTCGCATTTCGCGCACGGCGATAGGTTCGAGTGACAGTTCTCGAACATCCCTTTTTTATAGGCCATTAGTTCGCCTTAGCCGGGTTGTGAATTCCAGCTGCCACGTCAGCATCATGGCAGCAATCAGTGCCACCCTGCCTGCAGCCATTCACAGCTCAGCTTCACTTCACTGCGACGCGGGTTTCAATCCGCGCCGCGTATTACCCGACGTCACCCTTCCGAGGATGCGCCTCGTTGCGAGGACCTCCCGTAGTTCGTCCGTCGCCGCATCTGCTCCCTCCAATTCAGGTGATTTCGTCACTGCCCCACCTTCACTACCTCCTCCCTTCCCCCCCCCTCTCCCGTCTTTGCGCATCGTCTCCCTCGAGTTCAGGTAACTCCGCCGCCCCCTTCTCCTTCCCCCCGTCTTCCTCGGATTCAGGTAGTTTCGTCAAAATCCATACAGCTACCTCCTTCCCCCCCCTCCCCTCCCAAGTAACTCGAATCTCCTCCCCCCTTTCCCCCTCGAATTCAGGTAATTTCGTCACTCCTCCTCGCCCCTCACCCCCCCACTATTAGCCCCCTTTCCGCCGCCAACCCTCTTTCCCCCGCCTATCCGCGGACCCCTTTTCCGCTGCACCCCCGCCGCTCTGCACTCCGCTGCACCCCCGCCGCTCCGCACTGCGCTGCACCCCCGCCGCTCTGCACTGCGCTACTCCTAGCCTCCTGTTCCCTCCGAGCTGCCCTCTTTCTACACCCCCCTCCCCCCTCTTTCCCCCGAAGGGTGGGAGGGGGGGGCATCAATAACATTCACCCATTTTGGAAACCTGTGAAACAGGAATCGCCATTTTTTACATTCGCAATCCCAATCTGCTCTTTGCTCTGCTTTCCTTCGCTCCGCCCTGCCCTCTCCCACCCACACACCCATCCCCACACCCCCCTCCCCCTCCCCCCTACCCCACCTGTCCAGGCCCCTCCTCTCCTCCCACTCTTCCCGAGCCGCTCATTCCTCTTGGCCAATCAGAGCTGCGCGTGTCACCGCTGGGAATCGGCACGCTCCAATGGGGCGATCCGCGGTCGGGCTTCGGTGAACAGTACTCCGCTGCTGACCTGGCAGAGGCCTTCCGGCCGGCGCTGGCGGGCGGCATCAACTTGTTTGATTCTGCAGAGGTGCTCGCTTGAAAGCAGACCAAACAAATTTCAATAAGTAATTAAATTTGTTCCATAAAGCAGATTGACTCTGGTTATGTGCTTACTATATAGAGTCCGCCTCTTGACGTCACTGTTTTTTTAGTTACATGCTCCCCTCCTCCTCCCCCCTTCCCCCTTGCCTCTCTCCCCCTACACCCCCCCCCCCTCTTCCCCCCGCCGTATTCACCCTCTCGCCTCCCCTTGCAGGTCTACGGCTACCAAAGCATCGCAACCGGGAATTGTTGAGTCTGTTTTGAGACGTCTCAAAGAAAGGCTACCAAAGCATCCCAACCGGGAACTGTTGAGTCTGTTTTGAGACGTCTTAAAAAAAGGCTACCAAAGCATCGCAACCGGGAACTGTTGAGTCTGTTTTGAGACGTCTCAAAGAAAGGCTACCAAAGCATCCCAACCGGGAACTTTTGAGTCTGTTTTGAGACGTCTCAAAAAAAGGCTACCAAAGCATCCCAACCGGGAACTGTTGAGTCTGTTTTGAGACGTCTCAAAAAAAGGCTACCAAAGCATCCCAACCGGGAACTGTTGAGTCTGTTTTGAGACGTCTCAAAAAAAGGCTACCAAAGCATCCCAACCGGGAACTGTTGAGTCTGTTTCGAGACGTCTCAAAAAAAGGCTGCCAAAGCATCCCAACCGGGAACTGTTGAGTCTGTTTTGAGACGTCTCAAAAAAAGGCTACCAAAGCATCCCAACCGGGAACTGTTGAGTCTGTTTTGAGACGTCTCAAAAAAAGGCTACCAAAGCATCCCAACCGGGAACTGTTGAGTCTGTTTTGAGACGTCTTAAAAAAAGGCTACCAAAGCATCGCAACCGGGAATTGTTGAGTCTGTTTTGAGACGTCTCAAAAAAAGGCTACCAAAGCATCCCAACCGGGAACTGTTGAGTCTGTTTTGAGACGTCTCAAAAAAAGGCTACCAAAGCATCCCAACCGGGAACTGTTGAGTCTGTTTTGAGACGTCTCAAAAAAAGGCTACCAAAGCATCCCAACCGGGAACTGTTGAGTCTGTTTTGAGACGTCTCAAAAAAAGGCTACCAAAGCATCCCAACCGGGAACTGTTGAGTCTGTTTTGAGATGTCTCAAAAAAAGGCTACCAAAGCATCCCAACCGGGAACTGTTGAGTCTGTTTTGAGACGTCTCAAAAAAAGGCTACCAAAGCATCCCAACCGGGCACTGTTGAGTCGATCCAAAAGTCAAACCTCCCTCCCACTCTCCTTGCCTCACCCCATCCCGCATCCCTCCTTTCCCCCTTCCCCTACCCCCCACCCCTTTCCCCCTCTCGCCTCCCCTCGCAGGTCTACGGCTACCAAAGCATCCCAGCCGGCAACTCCTCCGAGCAGCTTCTGGGAAGGTTCGTGGCAGAGGAGAAAGCGAGGAGGCTTCAGGAGGGAAGCGGCAGCTCACAATCCCTGACACCTGTGGCAGCCACTAAATTCTTCACCATCCCCTGGACCAACCTGCTCGTGGGTATGTGTGCTGCTATGCTATCCCATGTACGCGCGCATGCCAAGCCTGGTTGGGGGATGCGCCTCAGAGCGAAGAGACAGTTGGGGCAGTGAAGAGCCTGAAAGGAGCAACTGCTCGCAGTCCCCGTTGCACCCACCAGGCTCTTCCCCGCTCGCAGTCCCAGTTGCTGCATCTTGGCTTGCTGTGCCTTTCCCCTTCGCTGGAATGACCCTTCTCACTCTCCCTCACTGTCCTGCTACTACTTCCTCCTCCTTTCCCCTACTGCCTCCCATGCCAGGTGGCGGGCTGCGATTCGGCCGCCAGTCGCTGATAGATGCTCTCAAGGCGAGCCTGCAGCGCCTTGGCATGGAGCGAGTTGACCTCTACCAGGTAGCACCTGCACCAGGTAGCACCTGCACCAGGTACCACCTGCACCAGGTGTGACATGCATCAGGTATCACCTGCACCCACCAGGTATTACCTGCACCCACCAGGTATCACCTGCACCCACCAGGTATCACCTGCACCCACCAGGTATCACCTGCACCCACCAGGTATCACCTGCACCCACCAGATAGCACCTGCACCATTTAGTGCCTGCACCAACTCAACGTCTCTTTAGGGCTGTTGGACAGCAGCCATTGATGGGACCTTAAAGCCAGGGTCTCATGTAAGGGTTGGCCGTGCAACTGCAAAGCACTTGGGCGAAACGTGGGCTCTTTGGAGAGTCTCAACTTGTCAAAACTTTGGCCCCAAATTTGTACACCAATTAGACAGGCCCGTTTTTCATCGACTGCAAAGCACTTGGTCACTTGAGACCCTGCCTTTAAGAACCTTTTCATCCACTCCACTGCGTTTTCTATGCTATGCACGCATGAAAGCTCTCACGCACTGAGTGCATAGCATAGAGACCTTCTTGAGTGCGACGTGCTATTGCCTGCTGTTGCCTGCTGTTGCCTGCGCTCTTCTCTCGCTTATCTCCTGCCTTCCATCGACCCTCTCCTTTCTCGGAAGGTCCATTTTCCCTCGCCCACCATCCGCAACACTGCTTACATGAATGGTTGCAATGCAAGTACCCCCATACGGAGCACCACCATGTAAGCACCCCAACCACCCCATGTAATCTCCCTTACCTTGCCTCTCCCCTTCCAACCACCCTTCCCCTTCCCCACCATCAGCACCGCCACGCTAATAAGTGGGCTGGAGCAGAGGGCTTGTAACGACCTCCCCTCCTTTCCCCTCTTCCTGTTCCCTTCCGCCCTTCCCTGGCAGATCCACTTCCCCTTCCCCACCATCAGCAACGCCACGCTGATGGACGGGCTAAAGCAGGCGCATGCAGAGGGGCCCCTTGCAATCCCGTCTCTCTCTCTCTTGATTCTCCTCCCTCCCACCCGCCCATGCCCTTCCATGCATCGCCCTCGTCTCCTTCCCCATCAGATCCACTTCCCCTTCCCCACCATCAGCAACGCCACGCTAATGGACGGGCTCAAGCAGGCGCATGCAGAGGGGCCCCTTGCAATCCCGTCTCTCTCTCTCTTGATTCTCCTCCCTCCCACCCGCCCATGCCCTTCCATGCATCGCCCTCGTCTCCTTCCCCATCAGATCCACTTCCCCTTCCCCACCATCAGCAACGCCACGCTAATGGACGGTCTCAAGCAGGCGCATGCAGAGGGGCTGGCGACGGCTGTGGGTGTGTCCAACTACAACACACAGCAGGTAGCGCATGGGGCGAGAGAGTGGAGATCGGTAGGTTCCGGTGTGGTGCTGTGCTGGGGCTTTCCTGGGGCTCTGCTGGTTGATCTGCCACTGGGTCTCAAGGGGACGCATGCAGAGGACACTGGATCTGCCACGGCTGTTGGCGTGTCCAACTACAATACGCAGCAGGTAACGAATGGGGGGAGCGGGTGAGGGTTGGATGGGGTGTTGGCAGCTGGTACAAGGGACATGGGCTCAAGCAGGCGCATGCAGAGGGGCTGGCCACGGCTGTTGGCGTTTCCAACTATAATACTCAGCAGGTTGAGTTTGGGGAGGGAGTGAAGAGTGGTGCTGCTGGGTTTGAGGTGTTGAGAGTTGACCTGACTCTGCTTCTCAAGCAGGCGCATGCAGAAGGGCTGGCCGCGACTGTTGGCGCATGCAGTTGGTGTGTCCAACTACAATACACAGCAGGTAGTGGTTGGAGAAGGTGTAGAGTGGTTAGAAGGAGCGCGTGATGGTGGGTGAGAGAGGTGGGTGAGAAGACATGGCTGTGGGCGTGTCCAGCTGCAACACACAGCAGGTGGAGTTTGGGGGGGGAGTGAGCAGTGCCTGGTAGGAGCGGGTGATGCTGGGATGGTGTGTTGACAGTTGGCTCTACTGGCTCTGGTCCTCAAGCAGGCACACGCAGAGGGGCTGGCCACGGCTGTGGGTGTATCCAACTACAATATTCAGCAGGTAGCGGTTGGTTGGGGGGAGAGTGAGCAGTGGCTGGTAGGAGCGGGTGATGCTGGGATGGTGTGTTGAGCTTTGGTTCAAGTGCCATGGGCTTATTTTTTAGTCGACTCAAAAAAAGGTAGGAGCGGGTGATGCTGGGATGGTGTGTTGAGCTTTGGTTCAAGTGACACGGGCTCGAGCAGGCGCGCATGCAGAGGGGCTGGCGACGGCTGTGGGAGTGTCCAGCTGCAACACACAGCAGGTGGAGTTTGGCGGGGTACGTGCAAAGTAACTGCAACACACAGCAGGTGGAGTTTGGCGGGGTACGTGCAAAGTAACTGCAACACACAGCAGGTGGAGTTTGGCGGGGTACGTGCAAAGTAACTGCAACACGCAGCAGCGGGTGATGCTGCGATGGGGCACTGGCAGTTTCTGCCAGCATACAAGGGGCGTGGGCTCAAGTGGACGCATGCAGAGGGGCGTTTCTGCCCCCTCTCCCACGCCATCGCCCTCCTTCACATCATGTTCCCTCCCTCCCTCTCTCGCCTGTCCCACCCCAGCAGTTGCAGAAGGCGCATTCCCTTCTCAAAGCAGCAAAGTGGCTTTTGATTCCACTCGATTGTCACCCTTCTGGCCCCCCTCCCATTCCTTCTGGCCCCCCTCCCATTCCTTCTGGCCCCCCTCCCATTCCTTCTGGCCCCCTCCCATTCCTTCTGGCCCCCCTCCCATTCCTTCTGCCCTCCCTCCCATTCTTTCCTGCCCCCCCCAGTTGCAAGAGGCGCATTCTCTTCTCAAAGCAGCAAACATCCCGCTTGCCTCAAACCAAGTCAAGTTCAAGTGAGCTCATCTTGAACACGAGACCAGAGCCCTTTGGAACGTGACATGAGTCGCCGGTGTACTCCCCCTTGTAATCTAATCCGTTTAGTTACATGCAATCAGCCTTGTTTTGTTTCTCTCGCTTCTCCTCCTCACCTTCCCCTCTCACCTCTATATCCCCTCGTCTCTCGTCTCCCAAACTCTTCTCCCCCTCACCAACCACCCCTATCTCTTAACCCTTCAGTCCTGCCATACCCACCCCCCTTTGTCCGTCCCACCAGCCTCTTGGACCGAGGCACAGAGACCAACGGCCTGCTGCACGCATGCAAGGTGGGCAGTGGGGGGCATGAGTGGGGGCATGAGTGTTGGACCGAGGCACAGAGACCAGCGGGCTGCTGCACGCATGCAAGGTGGGCAGCGGGTGGTGGGATGGGAGGTGGGGCTTCTGGGGTGAACACAGGGTGTGTCACAACCACGGGGGATAACGATCGCAGGGCAACGTTGCGTTGCACCAGCCTGTTGGACAGCGGCACAGAGACCAGCGGCCTGCTGCACGCATGCAAGGTGCTCACCTTAGGGTTTAGGGTTTCGGGTTTAGGGTTTAGGGTTTAGGGTTTAGGAACCCTAAACCCTAAACCCTAAACCCTACACGGGGTATTTCACACGGGGTATTTCACTCGGGGTATTTCACACGGGGTATTTCACACGGGGTATTTCACACGGGGTATTTCATCACAAGCACAGGGGATAACTGTTGGGTGCAAATACTTAATTTGCACGTCAACCTACCGTCTATTCGACGACATTGAAGGGAAAAGAGGTGTAATTTTGTTATGTGCATTTCAATTTGCATTCTCTGTGTGCGCATTTTGTGTGTGCACATTTTGTGTGTGTTCGGTGCGCATTTGTTTTTGCATTTTATGTGTTTCGTTTTCATTCGTAATTACATTTTGTGTTAGTGCAATTTCATTTGCGTTTTCACTGTTCTCATGAAGCGCTCAAATGAGGCTCACATGATGCGCTCAAATGAAAGCTCTCATGAAGCGCTCAAATGAGGCTCCCATGACGCGCTCAAATGAAGCTCTCATAAAAGCTTAAATGAAAGCTTTCATGAAGCTCCAATGAGGCCGAAATGAGCTTCCCATGAAAGTGCCATTTGTCTTCAATGTTTCATCCGTGGCTCATGCGAGCGAGTGGTGTACCGTGGGGTGGTACTGTGGGGTTCGATAGTTTGACTAGTCAAGGGGGTGCTGTTGACTTTCGTTTCGCGCTGGTCAAGCACGCGAAATCTTGACCGCGCGTGTGGTCCTGATCTCGCGTATGGGCCCTCAGGGCTCGAGCGTGTGCTCGCGCATTGTTGCGAGCGTGGCAGGGCCCACGATCGCAACAAGACAGGGCGAATGATCGCCCTGCCCACGCGCAGTACAGCGCACGTTTTGGCGCTGTACAGCGCGACCAGTTTGTCTGGTCGTGCATGATCGCGCACCTGAGGGGTGCGCGTGTGTTTCGAGAGGGTGCTGCGAGATTGTGAAGGGTGCTCGGGAATTACAGTTGAAAAACTGTATTTTGCGTTGACTTGCGGGACAGGTAATTTCTCGCGAAAGTCACACCGCGTTGCGGAATGATTTCGCCACAGGTACAATTCGGTTACTCGCGTCAGATAACGGTTAGCATGATGGGAGTCAGCAGAGGCAACTTATGTGAGTCACATCGGAGGCACATGGGAGCAATGAGTGTTCATGTGAGGAGTCAGCAGAGGCAACTGTCCTAAGTGAAATTTGAAGACATGTTTTACAAGAGGGGGAAGAAGACAATAGTCCAAGAAGTTGAGCAACCGTTTTTAAGTACAGCGTGGCGCAGATCCGAAATTCAGTTTTATAACTGCTTTGTTATTTCCCTATGCATGTGTGTTATGCGAAATATAAAACGTGCGCTTGTGCTTGTTTTTTTATTAATCCTTTCTAGTGGAAATATATTTTGAATCTCTTTGGCGAGTTGAATTGCTCTATCAACGTATTGACGTGAAGAGCTTTTCTACACACGAGCCAAGCCGCCGTTGAATGCTGCGCAACGAATGTTGGGAACGCTCTAGTACACACAACTATTTTTGCATTTAGGGAATTCCCTCGACAAACAAGGACCCTTGGATTGGGGCTGGCTCTGCCAGGCACCCAAGGACCCTTGGAGGTGACCCCGTGGGGAGTACCTAGTGTGATTTAAAGGTGTGTTTTGAGCCTATAAATCCCAAATAGCTGTCAACAATAACAATCACAGGACACTGCATGCAACGCATTGCACCAGCCCCTTGGATCAAGGCACAGAGACTAGAAGGCTGCTGCATGCATGCAAGGTGGGCAGTGGGCGAGGGGGAGGGGGAGCAATGAGTAGGGGAAGCAGAGAGGGGGGGACCGCTATTCCCATCTTCACCCTATTACCCACCCCACCTCTTCCCATCCCCTGCTCCCCCTCCCATCAGGACCTGCAAGTGTCACTCATTGCCTACTCGCCCCTAGCATTCCCCCTGTCCGCTCACCTCCTCCCCTCCTTCCCTCCTCCCCTCCTCCCCTCCTCCGATTATCCCATCGTTCTCCTTCTTCTCAACCCCACACCTTTTGTCCCCCTTCCCACCACCATCAGCACATGCAAGTGTCGCTCATAGCCTACTCGCCCCTGGCATCCGGGCTGCTAGCTTCCCACCTCCCCTCCACTTCACTTCCCCCACCCCACCACCCCACCCCACCCCTCCCAACCCTCCCAACCCTCCCCACCCCACAACTCTCAGGACCTGCAAGTGTCGCTCATAGCCTACTCGCCCCTGGCATCGGGCCTGCTCACAGACAAGGCTCTTACGCGCACAGACAAGGATGCCGTGCGGGTGAGTGAGAGGGGGGGGTGGGTGGAGGGTGGAGTGGGAGGTGAATGGAAGAGGTTGGTGCTGTGAGAGTTTGAGTGCTTGAGGCTCTTGCACGCACAGACAAGGCTCTTGCACGCACAGACAAGGCTCTTGCACGCACAGACAAGGCTCTTGCACGCACAGACAAGGCTCTTGCACGCACAGACAAGGCTCTTGCACGCACAGACAAGGCCCTTGCACGCACAGATATGGACGCCGTGCGGGTGAGTGAGTGGGGGGGGGAAGTGGGAGTGGGAGTGGGGTGGAGGGGGGAGTGGGAGGTGAATGGAAGAAGTTGGCTCTTGCATGCACAGATAAGGACGCCGTGCGGGTGAGTGGGGAGGGGAGCAGGGACAAGCGTGAATGAGTGGGAGTGAGGTGGGGTAGGGGGAGGGGTAACGGGAAAAGCGTGAGGGTCTTTTCCCTGCTCACAGGCAAGGCTCTCACATGCACACACAAGGCTCTCACATGCACACACAAGGCTCTCACATGCTCACACAAGGCTCTCACATGCTCACAGGCAAGGCTCTCACATGCACACACAACGCTCTCACATGCACACACAACGCTCTCACATGCACACACAAGGCTCTCACATGCACACACAAGGCTCTCACATGCACACACAAGGATGCTGCGAGGGTGAGTGGGACTTTCAAGTGGCGACCCCTTAGCGACCCCTTAGTTAGTGGCCTGGTGTATCTTGTGCTGCTGCTGTGCTGTGCTGTGCTGTGCTGTGCTGTGCTGTGCTGTGCTGTGCTGCGCTGTGCTGTGCTGTGCTGTGCTGTGCTGTGCTGTGCTGCTGCTGCTGCTGCTGCTGCTGCTGCTGCTGCTGCTCCTTTGCGCTCTACTCGCCCCTGGCATCGGGCCTGCTTACAGACAAGGCTCTCACACGCACACACAAGGATGCTGTGAGGGTGAGTGGGACTTTGGAGTGCTGTGAGTGAGGTCGCACTGTGAGTGTGGTCGCACTGTGAGTGTGGTCGCACTGTGAGTGTGGTCGCACTGTGAAGGGCAGGGCACTGTGAAAGCGAGAAACCCAAGCCTTGGTGGTGTGTCTGTTGGGCCCTGTGCGGTTGGGCCCTGTGCGGTTGGGCCCTCCGCGGTTCAGCCCTGTGCGGTTGGGCCCTGCGCGGTTCAGCCCTGTGTGGTTGGGCCCTGTGTCTGTGCTCTGCTGATTGTAACCCTTTAAGCCGAAGTAAACTTTACAGTAAGTGTAAGGCCCACTGTAACCTTTACACTGAGTACACTGTGAGTCACAACAGGCCCATCGAGTCTCCTTTGAGAGACTTCAAAATCGTTCCTTGGCTTCTGGCTGCCTTTTCTCAAAAACCATCACTTTCGCCCCTCCACTCCCCTGCTGCGTGCTGCAGGTGCGGCCCTTGTGGCAGCTGATGAGGGCGATGAAAGAGAAGATTGGCGGCTAAGAGCTCGTGACTTTTGAGTCGACCCTCAGCTCCTTGCCTTCCGGATCCCTCCTCTCTGCTCCCTCTCCCCCCTCCCCTCCCCTCCCCTCCCCTCCCCTCCCCTGCTTTGTGCTGCTGCAGGTGCGGCCCTTGCTGCAGCTGATGAGGGCGATTGGGGAGGAGTATGGTGGCAGGAGCGTGTCTCAGGTGGGCAAGAGCGTGTCTCAGGTGGGCAAGAGCGTGTCTCAGGTGGGCAAGAGCGTGTCTCAGGTGGGCAAGAGCGTGTCTCAGGTGGGCAAGAGCGTGTCTCAGGTGGGCAAGAGCGTGTCTCAGGTGGGCAAGAGCGCGTCTCAGATGGGCATCGCTGTTGACAAAACACTTAGTTCAATAACGGAGGAACTGCACTAGTGCACTTAGTTTAGTGTTCCTGGGTGATTGGTATGCTGGGTTGGCAAGCGAGTGATTGGTATGCTGGGTTGGCAAGCGAGTGATTGGTATGCTGGGTTGGCAAGCGAGTGATTGGTATGCTGGGTTGGCAAGCTAGTGATTGGTATTCTGGGTTGGCAAGCGAGTGATTGATATGCTGGGTTGGCAAGCGAGTGATTGATATGCTGGGTTGGCAAGCGAGTGATTGGTATGCTGGGTTGGCAAGCGAGTGATTGGTGTGCTGGGTTGGCAAGCGAGTGATTGATATGCTGGGTTGGCAAGCGAGTGATTGATATGCTGGGTTGGCAAGCGAGTGATTGGTATGCTGGGTTGGCAAGCGAGTGATTGATTTGCTGGGTTGGCAAGCGAGTGATTGATATGCTGGGTTGGCAACTGAGTGATTGATATGCTGGGTTGACAAGCGAGTGATTGATATGCTGGGTTGGCAAGCGAGTGATTGGTATGCTGGGTTGGCAAGCGAGTGATTGATATGCTGGGTTGGCAAGCGAGTGATTGGTATGCTGGTTGGCAAGCGAGTGATTGGTATGCTGGGTTGGCAAGCGAGTGATTGATATGCTGGGTTGGCAAGCGAGTGATTGATATGCTGGGTTGGCAAGCGAGTGATTGGTATGCTGGGTTGGCAAGCGAGTGATTGATATGCTGGGTTGGCAAGCGAGTGATTGATATGCTGGGTTGGCAAGCGAGTGATTGATATGCTGGGTTGACAAGCGAGTGATTGATATGCTGGGTTGGCAAGCGAGTGATTGGTATGCTGGGTTGGCAAGGGAGTGATTGATATGCTGGGTTGGCAAGCGAGTGATTGGTATGCTGGTTGGCAAGCGAGTGATTGGTATGCTGGGTTGGCAAGCGAGTGATTGATATGCTGGGTTGGCAAGCGAGTGATTGATATGCTGGGTTGGCAAGCGAGTGATTGATATGCTGGGTTGGCAAGCGAGTGATTGGTATGCTGGGTTGGCAAGCGAGTGATTGATATGCTGGGTTGGCAAGCGAGTGATTGGTATGCTGGGTTGGCAAGCGAGGGATTGGTATGCTGGGTTGGCAAGCGAGTGATTGGTATGCTGGGTTGGCAAGCGAGTGATTGGTATGCTGGGTTGGCAAGCGAGTGATTGGTATGCTGGGTTGGCAAGCGAGTGATTGATATGCTGGGTTGGCAAGCGAGTGATTGGTATGCTGGGTTGGCAAGCGAGTGATTGGTATGCTGGGTTGGCAAGCGAGTGATTGGTATGCTGGGTTGGCAAGCAAGTGATTGGTATGCTGGGTTGGCAAGCGAGTGATTGATATGCTGGGTTGGCAAGCGAGTGATTGGTATGCTGGGTTGGCAAGCGAGTGATTGGTATGCTGGGTTGGCAAGCGAGTGATTGGTATGCTGGGTTGGCAAGCGAGTGATTGGTATGCTGGGTTGGCAAGCGAGTGATTGGTGTGCTGGGTTGGCAAGCGAGTGATTGGTATACTGGGTTGGCAAGCGAGTGATTGATATGCTGGGTTGGCAAGCGAGTGATTGGTATGCTGGGTTGGCAAGCGAGTGATTGGTATGCTGGGTTGGCAAGCGAGTGATTGGTATGCTGGGTTGGCAAGCGAGTGATTGGTATGCTGGGTTGGCAAGCGAGTGTGATATGCTGGGTTGGCAAGCGAGTGATTGGTATGTTGGGTTGGCAAGCGAGAGATTGATATGCTGGGTTGGCAAGCGAGTGATTGATATGCTGGGTTGGCAAGCGAGTGATTGGTATGCTGGGTTGGCAAGCGAGTGATTGATATGCTGGGTTGGCAAGCGAGTGATTGATATGCTGGGTTGGCAAGCGAGTGATTGATATGCTGGGTTGGCAAGCGAGTGATTGGTATGCTGGGTTGGCAAGCGAGTGATTGATATGCTGGGTTGGAAAGCGAGTGATTGATATGCTGGGTTGGCAAGCGAGTGATTGATATGCTGGGTTGGCAAGCGAGTGATTGATATGCTGGGTTGGCAAGCGAGTGATTGGTATGCTGGGTTGGCAAGCGAGTGATTGGTATGCTGGGTTGGCAAGCGAGTGATTGGTATGCTGGGTTGGCAAGCGAGTGATTGGTATGCTGGGTTGGCAAGCGAGTGATTGGTATGCTGGGTTGGCAAGCGAGTGATTGATATGCTGGGTTGGCAAGCGAGTGATTGGTATGCTGGGTTGGCAAGCGAGTGATTGATATGCTGGGTTGGCAAGCGAGTGATTGGTATGCTGGGTTGGCAAGCGAGTGATTGATATGCTGGGTTGGCAAGCGAGTGATTGGTATGCTGGGTTGGCAAGCGAGTGATTGGTATGCTGGGTTGGCAAGCGAGTGATTGATATGCTGGGTTGGCAAGCGAGTGATTGGTATGCTGGGTTGGCAAGCGAGTGATTGATATGCTGGGTTGGCAAGCGAGTGATTGGTATGCTGGGTTGGCAAGCGAGTGATTGGTATGCTGGGTTGGCAAGCGAGTGATTGATATGCTGGGTTGGCAAGCGAGTGACTGGTATGCTGGGTTGGCAAGCGAGTGATTGATATGCTGGGTTGGCAAGCGAGTGATTGGTATGCTGGGTTGGCAAGCGAGTGATTGATATGCTGGGTTGGAAAGCGAGTGATTGATATGCTGGGTTGGCAAGCGAGTGATTGATATGCTGGGTTGGCAAGCGAGTGATTGATATGCTGGGTTGGCAAGCGAGTGATTGGTATGCTGGGTTGGCAAGCGAGTGATTGGTATGCTGGGTTGGCAAGCGAGTGATTGGTATGCTGGGTTGGCAAGCGAGTGATTGGTATGCTGGGTTGGCAAGCGAGTGATTGGTATGCTGGGTTGGCAAGCGAGTGATTGGTATGCTGGGTTGGCAAGCGAGTGATTGGTATGCTGGGTTGGCAAGCGAGTGATTGATATGCTGGGTTGGCAAGCGAGTGATTGGTATGCTGGGTTGGCAAGCGAGTGATTGATATGCTGGGTTGGCAAGCGAGTGATTGGTATGCTGGGTTGGCAAGCGAGTGATTGATATGCTGGGTTGGCAAGCGAGTGATTGGTATGCTGGGTTGGCAAGCGAGTGATTGATATGCTGGGTTGGCAAGCGAGTGACTGGTATGCTGGGTTGGCAAGCGAGTGATTGATATGCTGGGTTGGCAAGCGAGTGATTGGTATGCTGGGTTGGCAAGCGAGTGATTGGTATGCTGGGTTGGCAAGCGAGTGATTGATATGCTGGGTTGGCAAGCGAGTGACTGGTATGCTGGGTTTGCAAGCGAGTGATTGATATGCTGGGTTGGCAAGCGAGTGATTGATATGCTGGGTTGGCAAGCGAGTGATTGATATGCTGGGTTGGCAAGCGAGTGATTGATATGCTGGGTTGGCAAGCGAGTGATTGGTATGCTGGGTTGGCAAGCGAGTGATTGATATGCTGGGTTGGCAAGCGAGTGATTGATATGCTGGGTTGGCAACCGAGTGATTGATATGCTGGGTTGACAAGCGAGTGATTGATATGCTGGGTTGGCAAGCGAGTGATTGGTATGCTGGGTTGGCAAGCGAGTGATTGATATGCTGGGTTGGCAAGCGAGTGATTGGTATGCTGGTTGGCAAGCGAGTGATTGGTATGCTGGGTTGGCAAGCGAGTGATTGATATGCTGGGTTGGCAAGCGAGTGATTGATATGCTGGGTTGGCAAGCGAGTGATTGATATGCTGGGTTGGCAAGTGAGTGATTGGTATGCTGGGTTGGCAAGCGAGTGATTGATATGCTGGGTTGGCAAGCGAGTGATTGATATGCTGGGTTGGCAAGCGAGTGACTGGTATGCTGGGTTGGCAAGCGAGTGATTGGTATGCTGGGTTGGCAAGCGAGTGATTGGTATGCTGGGTTGGCAAGCGAGTGATTGATATGCTGGGTTGGCAAGCGAGTGACTGGTATGCTGGGTTTGCAAGCGAGTGATTGATATGCTGGGTTGGTAAGCGAGTGATTGATATGCTGGGTTGGCAAGCGAGTGATTGATATGCTGGGTTGGCAAGCGAGTGATTGATATGCTGGGTTGGCAAGCGAGTGATTGGTATGCTGGGTTGGCAAGCGAGTGATTGGTATGCTGGGTTGGCAAGCGAGTGATTGATATGCTGGGTTGGCAACCGAGTGATTGATATGCTGGGTTGACAAGCGAGTGATTGATATGCTGGGTTGGCAAGCGAGTGATTGGTATGCTGGGTTGGCAAGCGAGTGATTGATATGCTGGGTTGGCAAGCGAGTGATTGGTATGCTGGTTGGCAAGCGAGTGATTGGTATGCTGGGTTGGCAAGCGAGTGATTGATATGCTGGGTTGGCAAGCGAGTGATTGATATGCTGGGTTGGCAAGCGAGTGATTGATATGCTGGGTTGGCAAGCGAGTGATTGGTATGCTGGGTTGGCAAGCGAGTGATTGATATGCTGGGTTGGCAAGCGAGTGATTGATATGCTGGGTTGGCAAGCGAGTGATTGATATGCTGGGTTGACAAGCGAGTGATTGATATGCTGGGTTGGCAAGCGAGTGATTGGTATGCTGGGTTGGCAAGCGAGTGATTGATATGCTGGGTTGGCAAGCGAGTGATTGGTATGCTGGTTGGCAAGCGAGTGATTGGTATGCTGGGTTGGCAAGCGAGTGATTGATATGCTGGGTTGGCAAGCGAGTGATTGATATGCTGGGTTGGCAAGCGAGTGATTGATATGCTGGGTTGGCAAGCGAGTGATTGGTATGCTGGGTTGGCAAGCGAGTGATTGATATGCTGGGTTGGCAAGCGAGTGATTGGTATGCTGGGTTGGCAAGCGAGGGATTGGTATGCTGGGTTGGCAAGCGAGTGATTGGTATGCTGGGTTGGCAAGCGAGTGATTGGTATGCTGGGTTGGCAAGCGAGTGATTGGTATGCTGGGTTGGCAAGCGAGTGATTGATATGCTGGGTTGGCAAGCGAGTGATTGGTATGCTGGGTTGGCAAGCGAGTGATTGGTATGCTGGGTTGGCAAGCGA